AACCCTGGAGCTGGAGTTACAGACAGATATGAGCTGCCATGTGGGCACTGGAAACCAAACCCAGGTTCTCTAGCATGTGCTCTTAACCACTGAGCCTTCTCTCTAGCTCTCGCTGCTACTGCTGCTGCTTCCTCTGCCTCCTCCCCCTCTGCCTCCTCCCCCTCTGCCTCCTCCCCCTCTGCCTCCTCCCCCTCTGCCTCCTCCCCCTCTGCCTCCTCCCCCTCTTCCAACTCCCCCTCTTCCTCCTCCCCCTCTGCCTCCTCCCCCTCTGCCTCCTCCCTCTCTTCCTCCTGCTCTTACCACTTTCCTTTCCTGTGGCCCTGGAGATAATATCCAGAGCTGGATACGTGTTAGGCAGGTGCCCATCATTGCTTCTTATAGATCAGTTTAGATTGTTTATATCATCGTGACTTAATTTTTTACAGATAATGTGTCTAGAAATTTACTAATTTTGTCTCAGCTTTAAAATTTATTGATATATAAAATTTCAAATGTTATTTACTAGAAACATTTCACACACCCCTGTGTGTGTGTGTGTGTGCGTGTGTGTGCATGTGTATGCACGTGCACACATGCTTAGCATGCATGCCATGATGCACCTGTGGAGTCAGAGGGCAACTATAGGAGGTTGGTTCTCTTTCCACCATCATGTAGGGCCTGAGGATCGAACTCAGGTCATTAAACTTGACAACAAGTGTCCTTAGCTTCTGAGCCATCTTCCTGGCCCCTAAAACTATTTCCTAATGACTCTCTAGATTTCATTGGTATCTGCTATAATGTCTCTATTTTAATTTTCAATTGCATTTTTAATAAAAAAATCTTACCTATTATTATTGTGTGTTCAGGATGCATGTGTGTGGGCACATGAGCCATGCATGGAGGTCACAGGACAACATTGCAGGTTGGTTCTCTCCTTTAACCTTTCCATGGGTTCCAGGGATTGAACTCAGGTCACTATGCTTCCACGACAAGTGTCTTCACCGGCTGCGGCATCTCAATGCCCCTCCAATTATAGCCTTCTCTTTCTCTCTCTTGGTTAGTTTGGCAATTTGTCACCTTGGTTTATATTTTCTTTTTATGTGTGTGCACAATTGTGTCTGTAAACCCCATGGTGTGTGTGTAGAGGTCAGAGGGTAACTTCCTGAGTTTCACCTTTCACCTCACTTGAGACAGGATCTTTGTTATTTTTCTACTGCATACACCAGAGTAGGCGGCCCACAAGCTGCCGGGGGTTGCGTGTCTTCCTCCATCTCTCTGCAGGAGTGCTGGGAGTACAGAGGCCATCACTCTGCATCCAGCATTTACACCACTTCTGTGAGAACTCAGGTTCTCACACCTGTGTAGCAAATGAACCATCTCTCCAGCCCTCTTGTTTATCTTTTCAAAGAACCAACTCTGTGTCTGATTAATTCTTTGTCTAGTTCTTTTAGTTTATTTATTGTTTTTTCCATCTGTCAGTTTTGAGTTCGGCTTATCTTGTGTTTCTAATGTGCAGCACATTGTTAGGTTATTTATTTGAAACCACTTTGGTTTGTAAATGTAGGCTCTCCAAATGATAGCCATCTCTCTTGGAACCACCTAGCTGTCTTACAAAGGTTCTGCTAAGGTATGTTTTCATTTGATTCTAGGATTAAAACTTCTTTTCCTTGCTTTCTTCAATGACCAACTGACCATTGAAGAGTGCATTGTTCAATTCTCTTGTGTAGGAGGATTTCTCTTGTAGGGATCGTGGGAATCCCCGAGTGAGTGAAGTCCTGAGTGAATGTGCATTGTTGGCATGGACACAGCTATCTCAAGGACCAAGTCTTCAGGCCAATGGGAAATTGGCAAAGCCTTTCTCCATATTGGCAAGGCTTAGAATTGGCAAAGCCTTCTGCCTCTGGTCCCGAGTACAAGTGTTTACAACTGGTCAGTGTGTGCAAAAACGAGCAACCGCTGCTTCCTTCTACTGGATGTTTACAGCCTGAGACTGCCAGCCTGCAGAGACCTCCCCGCCCCAGACCAGCAGGCCCCTCCCGCTGTGTGCACACCAGCTCCAGTAGAGCACACTTGACCCCAGCTCTTCTCTATGTGTGTCTGTGTGTCTGTCCTTTCCTTCACAGCCCTAGTCAGAGTTCCAGGACCAGCTGCATGAGATGTGAGAATCGATGCTACTTTGATCTTCATTTTCTGTGTGTGGTGTGTGTGTGTGTGTGTGTGTGTGTGTGTGTGTGTGTGTGTGTGTGTCTGTGTGTGTCTGTGTGTGTGTGTGTGTGTGTGTGTGTGTGTGTGTGTGTGTCTGTGTGTGTGCAGAGGTGTGTGCAGGTGCATGAATGTGTACATACCTGTGGAGGTCAGAGGTAACCCCCAGGAGCTGTCCACCTGGTGGTTTGAGACAGACTGAAGCTTGGGTTTCACTATGATAAACTTCTGTTGGGTTTTCACTGTTGTGTTTCACTATGACAAGCTTGTGTTGGGTTTTCACCATTGTGTTTCACTATGACAAGCTTGTGCTGGGTTTTCACTGTCTTGCTACTTTGCAGTTCACTGAACTTCTAGATCAATCAGTAGGTTGACATCGTTCTCTTAGTTTTCAGAACATCTTTCTCTCCGCTATTATCTCTTCTTTGGGCTGCGCTTAAATATACAATTGCTTGGTTGTGCTTACTTCCACTCCCTTCTTTCTGGCCTAATTTGTGTATTTTCTATTGATCTGTCACTAATTCTTCTGTTGCATATCCAGTGTGCTCTTAAGTACGTCTACTGCAGTCCTTTAGACTGTGATCTGGTTTAGAATGCCTAATTTATCTTTGGGGTTCCATTTGAGGATGATGTATCAATACATGGCAATCCCCAGTGAATCATAGCTCCCCCTATTTAACAGGACTTTAGCAAATGCAGCAGAAGTCTGACAAATGCTGTCCATTGGGGCCTAGTCACGTGGAAGGAGCAGAGGAAGACGACGCAGTCACATGGGAGACTCACGTGGGAACGCCAGAAGAACTGGTCAGCTATGAGCAATAGCACACAGTGGCCATTTTATGATACTATGTTTTAGGTCAAGTTTGTTTTTTTTTTTTTTTTTTTTTTTTTTGGTTTTTCGAGACAGGGTTTCTCTGTGTAGCTTTGCGCCTGTCCTCGAACTCACTTGGTAGCCCAGGCTGGCCTCGAACTCACAGAGATCCACCTGGCTCTGCCTCCCGAGTGCTGGGATTAAAGGCGTGCGCCACCACTGCCCGGCCATAGGTCAAGTTTGTAATGTAGCAATAGAAGAGTGGCCACTTTAAAATGTATTAGATTATTTTAATTATTATGATTATTATTGTCTTATTCTGTAGCCCAGGCTTGTCTCAGACCGGTCTCAAACTCTTGATGATTCCCCCACCCCTTCAGCCTCCCAAGTTCTTGTATGGTCTAGGCTGGCCTTACATTGACAATATGGCTGAAGCGGACCTTGAATTCCTGACCCTCCTGCTAACACTTCCCCGCTGCTAGGATTACAGACGTGCACCCTGTGCCTGGTTTGATGCATTCGTTTAGATTCTCCATCCTTTCACCCATTTTATCAATCTTTTATTCTCCTTTCCTAAACATACTTATGGTGGTTCCTTTGAAGTTGTCTGTTAATTCCAGGAAGTGTGCCTGGAATCGACTTCTGTTTAGTTTATTTGTTTATTATTATGGATCACGTTTTTTCCTTTGTGCCTGTCTTATAAATGTATGTATGCATACCCATATTTTTTTTATGTGGTGCAGGGGATTGAACCTAGGGCCTCTTGCTAGGCAAGCACTCTTCCAGTGAGCTGCACCCCCACATCTTATAATTTTTAGGTTGTGCATGTGTTATAAATGGCATCTATGCTGGATAGTTTTATGTCAGCTTTTATGGGCCCTTCCCATCTGGAAGGAGGGAACCTCAACTGAGAAAATGCCTCCATAAGATCTGTAAGGCACTTTCTCAATTAGTGATCAATGGGGAAGGGCCCAGCCCATCATCGGTGGTGCCATCCCTGGACCGGTGGTCTTGGGTTCTATAAGAAAGCAGGCTGAGCAAACCAGTAAGCAGCTCCCCTCCACGGCCTCTGCTTCACTTCCTGCCTCCAGGTTTCTTCCCTGTTTGAGTTCCTGTCTTGACTTCCTTTGATGAGGAACTGTGATGTAGAAGTATAAACAGAATACACCCTTTCCTCCCCAGCTTGCTCTTTGGTCATAGTGTTTCATCACAGCAATAGGAACCCTAGCTAAGACAGCATTTAAAATACTGTATAGATGGCCGGGCGGTGGTGGCGCACGCCTTTAATCCCAGCACTCGGGAGGCAGAGCCAGGCAGATCTCTGTGAGTTCGAGGCCAGCCTGGGCTACCAAGTGAGTTCCAGGAAAGGCGCAAAGCTACACAGAGAAACCCTGTCTCGAAAAAACAAAAAAAACAAAAAAAAAATACTGTATAGACATACCTTCCCTTTGGGACTGGCATAGTTGCTTCTATTAGGCAGTTGAATATGCTTATTAATATACTTCTGCAAATCAAGGCAATAGAGTATACTTCTGTCTTATCCAAGGAAGGGCTCAGGATTTAAAAATAATGATTTTGAGGTTACAGAGGTTAATAATATCATGATAATTAAAATAAGATCGTTTGTATGAGGGCATTGGGATTATTGAGAACTGATTGAGTCAACCTTTGAAAATGATTATGCCTTAAGCCTTCTACCTAAGCAATTCTAGAAACACAAATGTACGTAGGCACATTTCTGTTAGCTGCCCAACAGTTGTTTCATCCTATGCCTCCTGGGTTTGAGAAAATCCCACTCTTCCCCCATGAGAGAGACAGGGATGTCACATTGTTATTATGATGGTGATTATTATGGTTTGGACTTCCCATACCTGAAAATTGCTAGTGTAGATGAGCAGGCCACACAGGGGTCAGCCAGGGGCGTTTATTGACCGAGCTCAAGAATCCATGAGCTCAACCTAGGACAACTTTGCCAACTGCATCCTCCAGGCTTCAGGCTTCCGGGCACTTAAAATATCCAGGGCTTTGGCTTCGGCTGGTACTTGGGCTTCACGCAGCACATCTTCCCGTTTGTGCAGTAGACGTAGACACTCTCCTTCCTGGAGCATCGGTGGCGGCACTTGCCGTGGAGGTTCCAGCATTTCTGAGCATCACCTGGTACAAGGAAGAGGGAAAGGAGATTGTGTGGGTCCTCAGAGGAGGGTGGCTCCAGCCCGGGGGAGCCGGCACAGGTGTGAGAGGCTCTCCGCTTCCCCTTTGACCCTTCCCACTACTGACCCCTTTTCTTCTACCTTTCTTTGACTGTGAATGACAAATGATGGATCTTTGAAAATCTGCTTTTAAAGGGCTGCTGTAGTCAGCCTAGGTTAATTGAAACTCTGTCTAGAAAACTCCAAACCAAGAAAGAAACAACACACCAAGAGAGAAGCTACAGTTCTGATAGTCACAGGAGGATGTGGCTGCACCGAACTGCTGGTCTTGAAGAAGGGGACTGAGAGGAATGATGTCCAACCTAAGGCTGTGCAGGGGTGACAGCGCGTGGTTCCTGGACAAAGCAAAGGCCCCCTACCCCTTTCTCTATGAGGTGGCACTTCTGCTTGGTTTATAGATGCCTTATGTCCCTTAGATCAATGAAGTCTTTAAGCTCTATTTGAGCCACAGGTTTCCTCTTGACAAATCTGAATGAGTTCCAGACGTGGAGAGGGGAAAGGGAAGCCTTTGAAGAGAAGACGTAGCATCCCAGCTTCTACACCCTCAGCATTAGCCTTGTCCTGGGTGTTCCCTTAGAGCACAAAAGGGGAGCAACATTCCCATCTGTCACCAAGAAAAGAAATGGCAACAAACACTTGCAAGGATGTGAGGCAGAAGGAACCCCTGTTCACTGCTGGTGGGAATGCAAAGCTGTACAGCCGTTATGGAAATCAGTAAGAGGCTCCTCAGCGGGCTGAAACTGGAACGACCATAGAAGCCAGATGTGCCATTCCTGAATACACTTGGGGTCTTTATAGCAGTCTGTGCCATCAGAGATGCTTGCATATCTGTGTCCATTGTTGCACCATTCACTATAACCAAGACAGGAGCAAGCCTAGGTGTTCGTCAACAGATGAGTAAAGTCAATGAGGTCCATATGCACAGCGGATTATATTCAGCGGTAAGAAGAATGAAGTCATGACATTCAGGAAAATGGATGGAGCTGGAGATTATTATCTTATATGGACTCATTGCCTCTTTCATGTATGGAATCCAGACTTAAATGTATACATGCAGGTATGCATGCCATGAAAGTGTTAAATATATACATGCAAATATATGCCATGAAAGTATCAAATGTACACATGCAGATGTACATGCTATGAAGGTAGAAAGGGGACCGTGAAAGGAGAAGATGTCTAGAGATGGGAACGGGGACAGGAGAGGGTCATGGAATATATAGACACAAAAGTGGAAGCGAGGACTATGTGGGGAGGAAGAGGAGCAGATGAAGGGCGGAGGAGAAAACAGGGCATAAAGTGGGAGGAGAGACACAAATATGATACAATGTGTGAAAGTGCCACAGTGAGACCCGTTACTTTGTAGGCCAGCTAAAAAATTAATAAAAAATAATTAAAAACTAACAGCAGCTATTTTAATTAGCATTAAAAACTTCAGATGGGGCTGAGAGGAGCGAGAAGAGAGAAAACAATACGTGCCCACACTGGGCAGATCTCCAGAGGGAGCCCCTCTTGTCTTTGAACATTCATCTGAACACATGTATGAGGAAACTGCCAAAGCCTTGGAAAGAATCACCGAAGAGAGCTAGGCAGACCTGTCCTCAGAACTGGGGATGTTCTGTGCACTCACCGGCCAGAGCAGAAAGGCTTTGTAAAGCCTGTAACAGTTAGGGGGCCAGAAGGATGGCTCAGAGGTTAAGAGTACTTCCTGCTCTGTCAGAGGACCCAGGTTCAGTTCCCAGCACCCACATGGCAGCTCACAACAAACTGTAACTTCAGTTCCAGGGGATCCAACAGCCTCCTCAGGTCTCTGCAAACACCAGGTACGCATATAGTGCATAGACATACACGGAGGTAAAATACACATAAGATAAAAATAAATACAGAAACTCAGCTCAGCAGTACACAGGTTTCCAGCGCCCAGGAGGTGGAGACCGGAAGTCTCAGCTACATAGTGAGTTCCAAGGCAGCCTGGGCTATACAAGACTAAATAAATAAATACATAAAATTGAAAAAGATAAGTGAACTTGGAGACACAAAACAAAAAATATTCAAAATGAAGTACAGAGCAAGAATAAAGCCTCGCCCACTGTGGAATGATAATAGATCACCATGTCAGCAGTTGAAGTGCCAAAGGAATGAGAGGGAGAGACAAGAAGAATGTGTGAAGAAATGGCATCCGGAGAATCTCAAGTTGACAAAATCACAAGTAGCCAGAAACCTCAGTTTCCTGACATAACTCCCAAAAGTTGTTCACTGATGTCCACACCTGCCGTGGTACCCACATGTAGCTATGGAAGTGGAAGGGGATTATTGGGGAGTAGGAAGAAGACCAGCAGGAGTGGGTGGGGACCAGAGAGGGTAGGAGGGGGGTGTGGGAGTATGAGGCTGTGTGTGCTGTGGCATGCTGTTCTCTGAGAATAGCAGCCATTACTGTATTTTCTTCCTTAAGGAAAATAGATTTATTTATAGTTTGACTGAACTGGGTCAACAAAGACGCCTCCTTTCTCCCTTTCCTGTGTGGATGTTACAATTTCATAGAAAAGATTCAACAACCGCCTATGCATCCCCATGCGTTCTGAGATAAGCAGTCAGAATGGCGTGGGATCTCTTCCAGGGAGGCAATCAGTAAGGATGAAGAAAAAAAATGGAAGGGTGTGGGTGTGGTGTCACAGAATCTCTTCTGGGGAGGCAAGCTCCAGTGGTGGCCCCAGGGCTTCAGCCCAGAGGTGACTGAGGAAATTAGAGTCTTTGGGGTTCACTGTTCTAGTAGTGTCATAGCTGAAGAGAGCTACACCCTGAACCCCAACCCCACCCCCACTCTCCTCTTATGTAGAGGGTGCTTGTCCTTTTGTTTTCCCAGGAAGTATTTCTGGATCTCTTCTTCAGCTCATGGACCCATAGCCTACAGCAAGGACCAGCGTGTGACAGGGCCCAGCAATCACAGCATTCCATCTATCAGGCAGCATAAACAGAGGTACAGGCCTTCCCAGGAACTGACCACTGGAAAATCAGGTGTGTGTAAGTGGTTGACAATGTAAACCTATGCCATTACCATATATAATTTATTTTTACTCTATGTGTATGAGAGTTTTGCCTGCATGTATGTATGTGAACCACATGTGTGCAGTACCCAAGGAGGCCAGAAGAGGGCACAGGATTCCCTGGAACTGGAGTAACAAAAGATTGAGAGCTACCCTGTGGGTGCTGGGAATCCAACCCAGGTCCTTTGGAAGAGCAGCAAGTGCTCTTAACCGCTGAGCTATCTCTCCAGCTATCCCACCATTCCCATCTTAATCAGAGCAGCCGTGACCACCTGCCGGAGACCCTCCAGGCTGGGCCTATTGAAGGCCCCTCATAGAGGGAGGGGTTGGGGCGGTCACTAGCCTTTCACTTCCTCCTGCGCACTCTCCCAGCTGTGTGTAATTCAGCCCCAGCTGCATGTTGTCTCAGGAGCCACAGGAGTATTGAGCAGGAAGGTTAACTGAAGCAAGGACTCCACTTACACAGCTACAGGAATGTCATTATCCACGCTGGCAGGAGACATTGGCAGTGTACCTGTTTGGGGGTCACCTATGTTCGTGGATGTAATCCCTCATTCATGCTCCTGTAATGTAAGCCCAGTAAACTGCTTGGTCCCCCCAAGTTAGGCTTCGGTGGAATAACTTTGGTGTCTTGCTAGTGCTCTATTTGGAATGAGTAGACACTTGTTTGCATCACCTCAGGAAGTGGGTGGGTACAAGCAAAGTACAATGATACACACATGCGAAGATGTCAGAACAAACCCATTATTTTATACTCTAATTTAAAAAATTAATGAAAAGAAAAAAAAGGTAATTGGTAAGGGCTGCAGACACCGTTCAGAAGGACAGCAGTGTTGAGTACATATGAGGCCTGGATACAATTCCCAGTGTGGCAAAGGCAACTACCATAAGTTAAAGGGACATGAAAGCAATGCATTATGGGTTGACAGCCTGTGTAGATGTAAAGGCTGGTGTAGGAATCGGGATGCTCACTGTTTAAAGATTCCTGTACTCTCTGTGAATTGACCTGTGAGCATCGAAGGCAGACCAAGAAGATACAGATGTCTGTGGTCAACCTTGGAGCCTACTCAAGATAGATGCAGGGACTGGGCAAGAGCAGTCTACAACCTCCTGTCACAAGAGTGTGAACTCACCAGACCCCTTTGTTCATGAACAAAGGGTCAAAATGCTGAGAAACCTGGTTTCCAGAAATCAAGACAGTGACTGACACTTTGTATCTGAAACTCTGGCCCCAAGGATGGACCATCCCATACTTCGCCCAAGGAATCAGGTTTCCCAGTACAGAAAAGCAGCTTTGATCTCCACTGGGTGCCGAGGAGCAGATGAAAAGTTTTATACAAAGTTCTCACTCTTGCTCTCCTGCTCTTCATTTCCCACTCTCTGGTTTTTTGGGTTTTTGTTTTTGTCGGGGATGCAGGGGGTTTTCAGGTGTGGGGTGCGGTGGGGTGGGGGGGTGGAGGGGTGGGGAGGGCAGGGCAGGTGCTGACCTTGAACTGCTTCTTCTCCCAAGTGCTGGGACCACAAGGTGTGTGTCACCGTACCTGGCTTCCTCTTCGTCTTTATTTTGTGCTTTCCTCAGAAATTCAGCCTTGAGTTGGTTCTCAGCCTGGGCCTGATGTCAGCCCTTTACTTACGGCCTGTGGTCCAGCCTTGCTTGGGAACCTCCCAAGCATCGTTAATGTATCCTTAAACCCCACCCTTCTTCTCTTCCTCTAGAGTCGGTGATTCTCGACCTTCCAAATGATGCGACCCTTTAATACAGTTCCTCATGTTGTGGTCATGCCCCAATCATAAAATTATTTCATTGCTACTTCATAGCTGTAATTTTGCTACTGCTATGAATTGTAATGTAAATATCTGATACCCGATTCCAAAGAAGTCACAGCCCACAGGTTGAGAACGTTCTTTGTTGGGTGAGTTGTTGCCGACCCCACAGACCCTTGGGTATGAGTGTCCTTTGCAGCAGAGTAACACATCTAACGTGATGGGATTGCAGGGCTGTGTGGGGGGGTCTTCATAAAGAAGGATGGACGTCACACAAGGAGACTACCACAGTTACTAGGATATTTAAAATAAAGCTCATGAATCAAGAAGCCTCCCTTCACCAAGGATGGGACAATTTGAGTTCAATAAGAGTAGCCAGGTGTGGTAGCAGCACTCAGGAGGCAGAGGCAGGTAGATCTGAGTTTGAGGGCAGCCTGGTCTACATAGTGAGTTCCAGACCAGCCAGGGCTACACGTCAGAAGAATACTGTAAATTCTACCGTGAGTGTGTAATTAGAAAATCGTCATCGTCAGAGGAAACAGGTCAGTGACCAGTTATTTCAAGAGGACTTGTACAGACAGAAGGATGAAGTTCAGAGAAGTATTAAAAGGTGTATTTTAAAAATAGGATGTCTGTCAGCCAGGGCTACACAGTGAGATCCTGTCTCAAAAATAAAAAACAAACAACAGGGTGTCTAGGGATGTAACCCTGGCAATGAGTGTTTCATGAAGAAATGAACTCAGGACCCTTAGGGAAGGAAGTGGGAGTGTGGGGGAAGGGTTTGGGTCTCAGCTGACTGAGCTGTGTGGTACTACAAGGGCCTGTACTTAGCAATGTTTGCTAAGCAGGGATTTGTTTTCTGTATCCATGATTCTGCCTTATTTTACACAAAGATAAGGAAAAATCTCATTAAAAATGAGATCTCATTTTTAAAGATTTATTTGTATTTTATGTATATGAGTGTTATTGTCTGCATGTAGGTCTGAGTACCACATGTGCCCAATGACTACAGAGGCCAGAAGAGATGTTGATCCTTGGGAACTGGAGTTGCAGAAGCCATGCGATCTCAATCTTTAGTTCAAGCATGTCAAGATGGACCACTGTGTGTGTGTATGAGTAAGGGTGTGTGTGTATGGGTATGGGTGTGTGTGTGTGTATATGGGTATATGTGTGTATGTATGTATGTATGTATGTGTGTATGTGTGTATGTGTGTATGGGTATGTGTGTGTGTATGGGTATGGGTGTATGTGTGTGTGTATGGGTATGGGTGTATGTGTGTGTATATGGGTATGGATGTGTGTGTATGTGTAGGGTATGGGTGTGTGTGTGTGTGTGTGTGTGTGTGTGTGTGTGTGTGTGTGTGTTGAACACAGAGCCTAGAGAAGGACATGGGGTGTTCTCCTCTATCACTCTCCACCTTGTTACATTGAGATGGGGTCTCTCTGACTTGGAAATTCACCATTTGGCTGGCCTGGCTGGCTAGTGAGTTCTTGGATCTCTCTGTCTCCACCTCCTGACACTGGGGTTATGTGCAGCCCTGTCTGACTCTTTATGTGAGAACTGGGAATTCAAACTCAGGTCCTCTTGCTTGCACAGGAAGTGTTCCTGCCCATGGAAGCATCCCTCTAGCCCTTAAGCATTTTAAAATTACATTTATTCATGTATTTATTGCTCACACATGCCAAGGACAACTTGCAGGGGCCGGTCCTCTCCTATCAGGAGGGTCTTGGCACTTAAACTCAGGATGTCAGTCTTGGCAGCAAGTGCCTTGACCCAAAGACTCATCTCACTGACTCTGTTTTCAACATTTTTAAGTGATGTACATTTCCGCCTCCTTTCATCATGAGACCCTTTGACTGTTAAAAAATGGAACTGAGTAGAATTTCTGTCCCTTGAGGCACTGATAAACAACAGTTAGGATGACATCGTCAGCTTAAATGAGTAAGAGTTGTTTCAGGTCGTAGCCAGACCATAATTTCAAGAACCAGAATTTACCAAGGAAAGTCCAGGACTGGGTAAAGCCTGGTGTGTTTACTCAAAGCCACCTCCCTGTGAGCTACAGGAGATGAAGGCTGAGTGTGACCAAAGTATTGATGGCTTTCACTCAAGGCCTCCTACCATCACAACTCGCAACAGGAAGTGGAAGAGAAACTCTTCTAAAAACTTCCTGGTCACTTAGGAGTTTAAATTCACTTCCAGCAGCAGCAGCAGTGGCATCGGGCTGCCTGAGAAACCCCACTAGCCCTGTGGGCCTGATGAGGCTCATTGACATCCTAGGGACACTGTCTACTCTTCTGCCGCCAGAGGCCTGCTGGCTAAGGGACATTTGGGAAGTGGAGATGAGCAGAGATCCTCTCTCTGATCCTCTCTGCAGGGAGAGAGGATCTGCTAGAAACACCCAAGATGATTCAGAGGCAGCCCTCATCACCTCTGGCAGTTGCTAGGTCTTTAGGGAAAAGCTTAGCTTTTGTACCTCATCAAACCCTCAGGGAGGGGGTGAGAAACAGCAGAGAGAAGGGGTTAACATCTCCCTCTCTCTCCTGCAGCATACCGTCCTTCCAGGAAGCCCCCACATTCTGTTGTGTGGTGGAGACAGGGGAAGGCCAGGAGTGGAGAGAGTTGTAAAGAGCAAGCCCAGTGGAGCAGGCAGCAAGGGAGGGCAGCTGGGAAAGTTCAGATGAATTACAGACAGTGAGAAGCAAGCTGTCCACCCCTCCTCCTTCAGACAGGGCCTCGTTTATCCCAGGCTGGCCTCAAATATACTAAGTAGCTCTTGAATTTCTGATCCTTCGGCCTCTATCTCCCAGGTCCTAGGATTACAATTCTGCATCACCACACCCAGTTTATGTGGTGCTGGGAATCAATCCCAGGGCTTTCTGTGTGCTAGGCAAGCACTCCATCACCTGAGCGGCAGCCCCGAACGTTAGTGCTTTCACACCTGCTATGACGACACACAGGACGTTGTCACAGCCATTAGAGAAGTGAGCAAAGGCACCTCTGAACAGTGGTCAGGCCATGGTGAGCCATTTGCCAACTTGGGCGCTTGGCTTTTCGTTCTCCCTTAGATGAGGGTGTTTCAGGTTCACAGGAGGGAACTGAAGTCAGCTTGTTTAGAAAAATAGTATGTTCTGGGCCGGGCGGTGGTGGCGCACACCTTTAATCCCAGCACTCGGGAGGCAGAGGCAGGCGGATCTCTGTGAGTTCAAGGCCAGCCTGGTCTACAGAGTGAGATCCAGGAAAGGCGCAAAGCTACACAGAGAAACCCTGTCTTGAAAAACCAAAAAAAGAAAAAGAAAAAGAAAAATAGTATTGTTCTGATTTGGGAAAGTTTGACCGTTTGGGGTGGACAGAAGCTCTGCCAGGTGAGTGGAGGGGGCAGGTAGCTGGCGGGGGGGGGGGGGGGGGGGGGGGGGGGGGGGGGGGTTAGGGAGGGTGGGGTGACCTCCAGCTAAGTTCTCCGAAGGCCCTCACCTGGCATCCCAGGCAACTTCAAGCTGCTTCCTCACCTGTGGCTCCCATCACTCACCCCTGTGCTTTGGACTAGGTCCCCAGAATTGGCATGCACTCTCCCAGCTGGGGATGCTCACTTATGCTTATCCCGCACCCTTCCATCTCCATCTCTTCCTTCCCCTGCCTGATTTCAAGTCACGTCTCAGGACTCTGCTCACCTCAGGCTAGCTGGGCCCTGCTCATGTGTACCCATTCCCTGACTTCCCTTTGACGGCTTTGGGTATAACGAAATTTAACTGTGTCCGAGGGCCACACCATTTGCCTCCATAATCCTAGCTCCAGCGCAAAGTATGGGACAGAGAGGAGCTGCAGACTTGAGATCCTCGTTCCCATTAAGGTGGCCGTGGCTTTTCCTAACCTTAGAACATCTTGGGGACTATTTTGCAAGAGATCTGCTGTTGCCTTCTCCTCTCTGGCTACTTCTGCCCCCACACTGGCCCTTGGCCCAGCTTGGTAGAGCTGAGCATGGAGTGGGTGATGAATGAGATACTCAGGATGTTGTTGTTGGTACCTAAGATCCGGCACCTGGCCAGGCGGTCTGGGAATGGCGACATCTCCGCGGCCCTAGGCAGCTGGTCCTCCTTGCCCCGGGCTGTTCACGGACAAGGCCAGGGTCTCCCTCTCTGGCCCCTTTTCTGAGGAGATCTACATTACCTGGAGTGAGCTGGGACAAGAGCAGCAGTGCGGCCAAGGTCAACAGCAGGAGCTTCATGCTAGAAGGCCCAAGGCGAAGCTTCGAGTCCAAAGCGGTGCCACAGTTAGCAGTGAGCTGGGGAGGCTGCGTCTCTCTAGCGGAAGTCCCTCGGATCTTCAGGAGCAGCCCACAGGAACAGCCCTGCACCCCGGGTCTACAGTGTGGAGCCCCACCCACCGAGTCCACAGCATCCCTTTGTCTTTTGGATCAGGAGGGTGAGGACAGCCAAGGTTCAAGGCCACACAGCACAGCCCTTCCCCGCCAGCTTTACACTGCCTTATCCGAGGCACCACAAGGGGGCGCCACGCACACGAATGCCACAGAGCACACATCAGTGGCTACCAAGGACACTGGCAGAGAAGAGGAAATGGGGTTCCAGGTAGGGCAAGGTCTGTTCAAGAGTAGACAGACACAAGAGGAACAACCCCCCACCCCGGGGGGGCGGGCAGAAGGGGGGAAGGCGCACGCGAGGCCGCTCCGAGCACCAACCAAGCACAGGGTTGTTCTGGACTCAGAGCTGAACCCCTTCCTCAGGGATTCAAGAACAGACGTTCCCAGCGCCCTGGTCTGAACATTCATTCCAGTTTCTTTAGCTCCCTAAGGTGGCTGCTCCTGCAGTTAGTCATCCTTTCTTCAGGGTCCTTATTTTTCAACCTCCCAGCAGAAGTAAGCAATTCCCTCCATTAACTATCTGTCTCTATTACGTACGTGAGTTCCACTTCCTGACCGGACCCTCCTGATATAGAGGTCAGGAGAATCAAGGAATGCATAGAGCTTAAACGATAAGACAGTGAACTGAACCATCAGTGGGGACGGGAAACACTGAATGGGCTGCCAAAGATTTACACGAGGTAAATGAAAGCGTGTGGTCCTCGATGCTAAGTAATTCCTTCAGGAACTTCTTACAAGGAAGAGATTAAGAGATGGCCCTGGGAGGGGACCCAGTGACCAGCCCTACAACTCTACCACGGTGCCCTGCCACCTCTTACTCCTGTGAAGTTTCAATCAGAAGAGAGCCACTGCCAGCATCCCGGAATAAGGAATCTGTGGCAAAATTAGTCTCAGGGTAGGGGTTCGAGGCTCTGGAAAAACAGAGACTTGATGAGATACACAGGGTATGAGTTAACTTCCAGGGGTGACAGGCCAAGGCTTGAAACCCCCCAGGACTGCCAGGGGAAGGTGTGGGACTCTGGAGAGATTCTGGGCTCCTGGGCTGCTGATGTCTGTTTGTGGCAGTCACAGAGAAGTGGTTAGTGAACCTGGCTTCTGGGGTTACTTTGGTCAGCAGGGCCGGAAGTGGGGAAGGAGAACTGTTACCAAATAGGGAACGGTGAGGACCTGCTGAAACCTGCCCCTTGTCCTTACTACCTCTCACTGGCGACAATTTCCAGAGCACAGTGGTTAGCGCTTCTGATAGCTGTTGTCACCAGAGAGCGTTAAAATTTTAAAAGTTGGCTGCAAACTCCCCCTCAAGTCCAGAGAGGGAAGGAAGCTGAGTAGAATCTCATCCTAGTCAGGGCTGGTACCTGCCAGCATGTGCTACAAAATACCACAAAGCGGAATGTCTTAGGGAGAATGTATTTATCGGGTTCTTTTCTTTCTGAGAGTTCTTAACCGCTTACAGTGCCTGGGTATGTGAAGGAGTTTGCAGTGAGAGTCAGAAGTATTCAGCTACTAGTACTCGCCTTCCCTTCTATAAACTTTTTCTTAATTTTGGAAACTATTTTAAACGTATCCTTCGAAAATTTCATGAACATAATGTCTCAATCTTATCTACTCCCCATCACCCTCTCTCAGCTTCAGCCACACCTTATTTTGGAGACATGGTCTCATGTAGCCACGGCTGGCCTTGATCTCTCTATTGTAGCTGAAGGTGACCTTGAGCTTCTGGTCCTCCTGCTCCTACCTCCTGGGTGCTGGGATGAGAGGTATGCATTATCACGGCTGGCTTTATAAAGGGCTGACTGAGGATTGAACCCAGGGCCTTGTGTGTGCTAGGCAACCACTCAAGAAACTGAGGCCATGCCCTCAGCCCTCTTACTAACTTAATTTTTATTTCAAAAAAGATTTATATTTATTTGTTTATTTAATTTTATGGGCATTGACTTGTGTTTTGCCTGCATGTATGCTTGTGTGAGGGTGTCGGATCCCCTGGAACTGGAGTTACAGACAGTTGTGAGCGGTCTTGTGGGTGCTGGGAATTGAGTCTGGGTCCTCTGGAAGAGCAGTCAATGTTTTTAACTCCTGAGCCATCTCTCCATCTCCCTATTTTTATTTTTAATTATGTGTGAGTATATGTGTATGTGTGTGTGTGCATTCGAGTACAAGTGTACTTGGAGGCCTGAAGAGGGCATCAATTCCCCTGGAGCTGGAGTTGGGGATGGTTGAACCGCCTCCACCCTCCACATGGGTGCTGGGAACTGAACTCAGTTCCCTAGCAACAGCAGTATGCATTTTTAACTGCTGAGCCATCTCTCCAGTTCTTATGTGATTTTGGAATATGTGTGTGTGTGTGTGTGTGTGTGTGTGTGTGTGTGTGTGTGTGTGTGTGTGTGTATTTATCGGGTTATATATTGCAATGCTAAACCCATGTATTTCATGCATTTCAGGCAAGTTCTTTGCACCCTGACACACCCCTATAAAATTTACTTTTTTCTGGGTTTCAATGTGTTTCATCAAGGATTTGGAGCAGATGAGTCATGGGGCTCCATCTACCCATCAATTTATATGGTTCTGTAGGTGTGGAAAAGTAATTTATAGAAAGTAAATGAATGGGTAACACAAGGATTTCAGCACCCAGGATAAGTGCATTTCCATCCACAGATTCTTAGGGTCAGTCACCCAATCTCTTTAACCCTTAGATCCCAACTCCCAAATACATGATGTCACTTTGAAAGCTACACTCCCAAATTGGGTGGTGGCGCACACCTTTAGTCCCAGCACTTGAGAGGCAGAGACAGACAGATCTCCATGAGTTCAAGGCCAGCCTGGTTTACAGAGTGACTTCCTGGACAGCCAAGCCTACAAAGAGAAACACTGTCTTGAAAAACAAGACCCAAAACAACCAACCAGACAAAAGAACCCCGGTCCCACTCCTCACAGGCCCATGTACTAATGTGCTTGGTTCTGATGCCTTTAAAAAGCCATCCCAGGATGGGTATAAGCATGCAGCTTCTCTCAGTTATAAGGAACAGGGGACCTGGTGAGGGGGCAGAGGAAGATGCTGTGTGAACACCTCCAGGCACACCTCAGATACCATGGCCTGCTCATGGACAGTGAGAAAGGCCACTTTCAACCTGATCAGGAATCCAAACAAATCCAAATGGCGAAGGGGTATCATTTTCTGCTATGAGTTAGCAGGCATATTATTTTATTAGTAATCCTACAAATTTTAAAAAAGATTTTAGTTTTCCAATTAAGCGTACTCACGTATGTGTGAGTGTGGCTTTGCGCACATGAGTGCAGTGCTAGAGGAGGCCAGAAGAGGGCTTTGGATCCCCTAGAGCTGGAGTTCCTGAAGGTTGTGATTTGCCTGACACGGACGCTGGGATCTGAACCTGGGTCCTCTGCATGATTAGTATATGCTCTTAACCCCTGAGCTACCTCCTCAGTCCCAACCCCAGAGACATATTTTTTTAAAAAAGAATATATAGAGAGAGCAATACTTTTTATTATAAACATCAGATTGCTGCATCCTTTTTGCAGGGTGCTTGCCAATACTGAAATCATGAAATTGTGCTGGGCTAGTGTCCTTACAAGGAGAAAGCAATTTAGACAGAAATACATGAAAGTATTATGTGATAATGGAGGTGGAGATTGAAGTTGTGCTTTTATAAACTGAGGAATGCTAAGCAGCAGCAGCAGCAGCAGCAGCAGCAGCAGCAGCAAGGAGCCAGGAGAGAGGCATAGAACATGCACTCCCTCTGTCTCTGGAGGATGCAACCTTGCTGCCATTTTGATTTTGAACTTGTAGCCTCCAGAATAGTGGAGAAGAATATATCTATTTTTACAAACCACTCCATTGTAGTGTGTTGAATGGCAGTCCTAAATAATAAGTAGGTCACCATTTCAAGTTTATTATTACAAAGCCATACTATATCGGTGATGTTTACCCTCATTGTAACTTGACTGGATTGAGCTGTGTCTTCTCAATGTTAGGGGCCGCTTAACTCCTGTGTATATTTTTGCATATTATAAATCTATAACAGACTGAATTCTGGGCAAAATGGGCTGCCAAGAAGGGCACACCCCTTTCCTGGAAGTTCCCATGTTGCAGAATATTTGTTTACACTGCGTGAAGATGTGTCACTGTGATTGGTTTAATAAAAAGTTGAATGGCCAATAGCTAGGCAGGAGAGGTAGGCGGGACTTCCAGGGAGAGAGGAAGAGGAGGAGGAATTAAGGAGCGTGGATTATGCCGGAGAGATGCCAAGAGATGTGGAACAAGTCAGATGTACCGAAATGGAGAAGAGGTAAAAAGCCACGTGGCAGGACATAGATTAACAGAAGCAGATTAATTTGTTATAAGAGCTAGTTGGGTTAAAGCCTAAGCTAAAGTCCAAGCTTTCATAATTAATAAGAAATCTCCATGTTATTATTTGTGAGCTGGCAGCTGGTAAAAAAAGTTTGCTACAGTCCCACCCTGGACGAGGTACAGGGGAGAGGGTGACAGAGAAGAGAGACATCAGCCCCATGCCTGCCAGGACCAGCTGGCTCTTTTTCTGAAGAGTGTATTGTGGCTTTCTTGATTGGGCTAATGGGATCCTGACTGCCCACTTGACAGCTGTGACCCATCTGAGTCCTTCTTGTTCTAGAACACAGGAATTGACTGTGCTGCTGAGGACCAGAAGGAACACAAGAGCTAGAGACACCAATGGTGCTGTGACTCTGATCAGTCTTCTTTAGACATAAGGCAGAAGGAGGTGAGCTCTGTAGCTTAAATTCTAACTGGTCTTAATAATAAAAACACAGAATCAGATATCAGGGTAAATGCCGTGTGGTGATATTGTGTTCCCTAA